TGTCTTTGCTCGCCAGGCGGACTCGCTCGGCGAGGTCTCGGCCCTCATCTACTTTGCAGGACTCGCGCGGCCCTACCTCCTTGCCGCCGGCGCCGCGGCGGCCGCCGCCGCGGCGTTCATGTGAGGACGCCGCTCGCATGGAGGCTGCTGCGGTGGGCAGCCGCGACACGAGAGGTGGAGCGCGGCGATAAAAGGAACACGTCGTCTTCCGGCGCCGTGCTCGCTGCTCGGCCACATGAAGTGAATACGGCACTCACTCCCACAAACACAACTTTCTCTGCATGCTAAAGAGAGAGAGAGAGAGAACAGAGAGCACATGTGCATCTGCCGATTCGATTGTTGTCCATCTTGTGTGTGTAGATCTAAGATCTCGGCACATATGCGCATCCTTGTCTGCCCTAAAAAACTAAAAAGAAAAGCGAGGGCCGATTATACATTTTTTCCACACACACACACACACACACAAATCAAAATCCGTAGTCGGTAGTGCGTGACGAACAAGTAGTGCGCGCTTGCGCACAGCGCTCAGCGGTGACACTCTCTGTACGCGCGGTATGCAGAGTACAGTGCGACTGCGAGCGCCGAGGCTGTCGGCGAAACAGCCGTACGTTGTGTACTCTCAATCATATGGATATACGTATTGTCGCTTCCACACCTCCACCTAATGCGTACAACCTTCCTCACTCGGCGCATGCCAGGAAGCCATTTTGCAGCGCCTCTGCGTCCAAATCACGGCCAATAAACACGATCCTGCTCTCCAGTGCCTCCTCTGCTGCATACGTTCCAATGACATCGCCCTCGAAGCTACCGTGGATGCCCTGAAAGCAGAGCTTCTCATACAGCGCCGCTCGTGGTGTCTGCCCCGCGCCTCTGTTAGTGGCGACGATCCCCTTCATACGGAGAATGTCGTCGCCGTGCTCCTGTAGGTGTTTACCAAGGAACTGGCTGAGCGCGTCGTAGTTCATGCCTCCTCGGTGCGTTACAGATATCGACATGACGTCGGTGCCGTGGTGGTGCCCACCGTGCCCGTGTGAATGTCCGTGCCCGTGTGAGTGCCCGTGCCCGTGAGAGTGGCTAGGTGTGCCGGCCGAAGAACAACGACGGCTACAAGATTTGGTCGGGCATGGACACGCCAGAGTCATGCCAGGCCAAGTGCGAGGCGGAGGCGGACGTTTGCGGCGCGTGGGAGTATGAGAACCATAGCTTCGACAACAAGGAGTGCGAGCTGCACGAGGCTTCGGTCGTCTCGGTCGAGCAAACCCGCGCTCAAGGCGAGTGCGAGCTCACCGAAGGCGGCGCGCTGGGATATAGGTGCTGCTGGGTTGCCACAGAGACCGCCTCTTCCCACGCGGGAGCGGACTGGGCGGGTTGCACCGCCAAGGACAGGTGTGGCGACTTCAATGGCGTCAACAACTTTACGATTGGAGACGCTCTGTATGTGGCGCAGATGTGGGCCGGCAAGGTCCCGCGCACGGCTTGCATGGGCGGCGACTTCGACCAACGCAATGGCTTCACAATCAGCGATGCGGTCTACGTGGCGCAGGTCTGGAGCGGGCACGAGAGGTTTCCGTGGGAGGGCGCCATGCCACCCGCGCCACCTCATCTCTCGCCGTCGCCGCCACCGCCGCCCCGCCCGGCGCTAGACTACGGGTTTCCCCGATGCTACACTGGCTTCTCCAACTACGACACCGCGTGGATCAACCCAACGGCGCATTTTGAGGTGCGTCCGCTCGAGGGCTTTGCCAAGCGGCCATACGAGGGCGCGAGCGCGTCCGAGTGCGACGCGGTGGAGGCGCCACTCATTGCCTTGGGCCCGCACTGGTCCCCGCTCGGGTTGGTGCGGTATGAGCCCTCGTCGCCGCGGAACGCTCTCCCGGAGCGCTATCACGGTGCGCTGCTGGTCGCTTCGCACGGCTCGTGGAACCGCGACCCGGTGCGTGCGCCGTGGCCTTCCTGAGAGCCCCTGTCACTTCTCCTTCTACCGCCTCTCTCCCCTCGCCCCAGCTTCCCTCTCAGCCCTCCCTCGTCTGCACACACAGTGGATCGGCTACTCGGTCAACGCGTACACGCTTGATTGGGGCACATACGCGGTCTCCAGCCAGGAGGTGCTCATCCCGCCGCTCCGCCAACGGCAAGGCTCGATGCGCATCCGGCCGGTCGACCTGCTGCCGAGCCCCGTGGACGGCTCGCTACTCATGACCGCCGACCGCGACGACTGGGTGGAGGGCACGCGAGGCGGCGCGCTCTACCGGGTGGTGTACGGGGCGGCCCCCGGCGATGTCGACACGGCATCCGTCATCGACGTCACCGCCATCTCAGGGCTGCACGTGGGCAATGACGCCGCCTTTCAGCTGGAGCGTCTCGCCGCGCTCCCGTGCGCTCGTCAGATGGCGCGATCCACCAGCTCCGCGACGCTGCTGTACGTCTCCACTTTTGATGGCTTCTGCCCGGCGAGTGCCGGCGGCGCCATCTATGTCGTCGAGCTCGACGCCGCCTCGGGGCGGGTCGCCAGGACCGCGACACTCGCGCGCGGACTGCACGACCCGCAAGGCATCGACACTGACGGCTCGTCGCTCTTCATCGCCACCGGCGGCTCCTCGGACAACGCGGCTACGCGGGGCAGCTGCGTCCTCCGCATCAGCGACGTCGACGCGCTCGCGCAGCTGGCGCTCGACGGCGCGGCGCCGATCGAGCCCATCGACTCGCGCATCGAGAGCGTTACGTGCGGCTTCACGCGTGTGCAGCGGTCTCACAGCTGGCGTTCACTCAGAGTGGTGCCCGGTGGGACACACGCGGTCGTCTCTGTCGGTGCCGACTGCAACTGGGATCCGGGCTGCGCCAACGATGGGCAGGGAGATCTGCAAACGACGCTGGTGTACGTCGATCTCGAGAGCGGGGAGGTGACGATCGCGGCCCGCGGCATCCGCAACGCCATCGGCCTCTTTTTCGACCCGTTGGGAAACCTTCTCTTCACGTCATTCGGCTCCGACTGGGCCGCGGGGATACCGGGGGCGACGTCGCACAACAACGTGCCCGAGGATGTGGTGGAGGTGCTGCGGCGATAACTTCACATCGGTAATTGTGGCCACTGGCCCGCCGCACATTCCGACCGCATCCCAGGTGGAGTGTTGGCTGTGTTGCCTTGTGCGTTGTGGTGTGTCGGGGCGTCGGGGCGCGCGAAACGGGGTATGTGGCTTTTGTGAGGGGCGCGAGGCGATCTGGGAACATGCCTGGCGGAGGAAGGCCTAATTACATCTCGCTCAAACTTCCACATTAGCACTCAGAGTTCTCAGTCTCCGCTCTCTCGAAGACTCGAACGCAGAGGCACGTCGCCGGACACACACCTGTCACCTCCTCCACCTCTCTCAGAGCGATCCCTACCGTACAGCTGTGTAGCCTATTGCAATACCGCGTCGTCCCGCTCTCAGCGCATGAGAGGTAGGCTGCTCGAGTGGCATCGGTGCCGGCGCACCATGATCTCGCTCCCTCCCGCTGAGGTGGCCGAGCGCACGGCAATGATCTCTCGGCCTGGCCTGGCACTCTTCATCGGAGCGGCGAGACGAGTGCGGAATGGCTTCGCGGGTGGAGAGATATGCAGCACAGGTGATTGTTGGGACGGCAGCGGGGTCCCGGGCCGTGAGGACGCCAGGGCTGTGCCCGGTCCCTGTCTGAGGTCGAGGAGCGCTGCGGCGGCGAGCACCCTCGGGGACGGAGAGGGAGATTCCGCTACCGCCGCCGGCTGCGCTGCCGCCACCGGTGGCGTCGCCACCGCTGGGTCGCGAGCAGCACAAGCCGCATCAGGGGCTTGAGCATCTGGAGAAGATGCATCGGTCGCGGCGGTGAGTGGCCTCGGCAGCTTCTGTGACAGCCTGCGAGCCTTCACCGTCAAGTCCCAGAGGTAGAACCACGACCGGGCTTGGCAGCGCGTGCACACCTGTGGTGGCGGCAGAGGCTGGTGTGCATGCACACCTGTGGGAGCGCCGCAGCGGCAGAGGCTGGCCATGAGAACCAACGGAGGTGGGCTCAAGGGGTACAAGCACAAGGTCCATCGGCCTCTATGAATTACGGCGCTTCCGTCGGCTTATTTCGGCGTGAAATGCTTGGCCCCACCTCTGATAGGTTGTCTGGCGCGGCGCGGACGAAGAAATTTAGGGAGGGACATTCAACCCATTTCACAGCAACTGGCAGGCACATTTCACAGCAACTGGCAGGCAGGCAAAATCCAAAAGAAAAATGGTGGCGAATTCGGCGTTGTGACGCTACTCGAGTAAACCAGAGAGACTAAGACTCTAGAAGACTCTCTAAACCTCAGGCCTCGCTGACAGAGATAGATAGAGAGCACGGCAGCTCAGTTCTGCTGTCTTCATGTCGGCTCACTCTGCCTGCGCCACGAGCGCGTCCTCGGCGGAGCTGGCGATGACGTGCGCCATCTGGAACATCGGCAGGATGTCGAACGGCTGCTCGACCTGCACGCCGAGCTCCTCGATGCCGACGTAGATGTACGACGTGGCGGCGACGTAAAAGAGGACCAACGGCGGCGAGAGCTGCCCCACCAGCACCACCGGCAGCGTGAGCAGCCAGAGCGCCAGTGAGCGGACGACGTGCCGAGACATGGTCGGCGGGATCGGGCTCGCAAACAGGCGCTCGCCTAAAGGAGCCGAGAGGGTGCGACTCCAAAAAGAGAAAGCTGCGAACGGGGCGCGCGTAGAAGCTCGCCTAGCGCGCGATAAGCCGCGATTCAAGGAGAGGAAAGCTGCGAGCGGGGATGGGCGCGCGAGGAGGCGCTCGCAGCCGCCGACGACGAGGTCGAGCTGGCGCAGGTCGTCCTCGAGCTTGTAGTGCACCTTAGAAGAAAGACGGCTGTGGATGCAGAAGAAAGACAGCTGGGGGTCGTCGTCCTCGAGCTTGGTGCACATGCGCCGGCACGCGGCCACGCTCGTACTCGGCATACACGGTGCGCCGCATGCAGCCGATGAGCTCGACGGGAACGTTGCGCCGCGAGGCAAGCCAATCCGCCTCTGCGGCGGGCAGCACCGCGCCCAGTACGTCCGCCACCTCGTCGCCCTCGCGCAGCCTCGCCTTGAGCACCCAACCGAACGCGGCGCAGTACCTGCCCAGCTGCACCGACGCCGCGCTCGGCGGCAGCCGCTCTCCTCGCCGCGTGTCGAGGACGGTGGAGACACCCTGCATCAG